TTGGCAATAAATAGTAGTAAATTGTCAAATTATAGCAATGATGCTTCAATGGTTACATGCTATTTTGACAAATATCAATCAGCTTTCCCTCTAATTTTGTAAGTATTGTTTGGATATAGGTTTTTAGTATTTTTTTATTATTTATTTTTTTGTCTTTTGTGACTTTTTTTAACTTTTTTTTTAAAAAAATTAAATATTTACATGTTACCCGACTAGACAAATATAAAAAATTAAAAATTTTGATTTTTTTTAATATAATTCACCTCACCAAAAAAACATACGACTAAAAAAAAAATTAAAAAAATTATTAATTACATTAAAGTTACATGAACCACTACATTACATTGCAAAATAAAAATTATATTTAAGAAGAAATAATAAAAATTACATTGACAAATAAATGATATTGCAAAATTAAAAAATACATTCTCTCGTAATTATTCATCAGGAGGCATGGAAAAATAGTAATTTGGGTTGCTGACATGTGCGGATCACTTGGCGAAAATCTCATTTTTGCTCATTATGTAATACACTTTCGTCTAAGGGTCTAAATGAGAAATATTCATAGTCATTATCAACATTCTTCCTTTTTTTATCTCAAGTTCTCTCATCTTCTGCAAATGTTCTTCATTTTTTATCTCAAGTTCGTTTATCACCTGCAATGCTTGAGCCATTTTTTTTCTTTTCTTTCAGTTTTTATTTTTTATTTTTATTTCTTTTATTTCCTTCTCAGCAAAGTGTTGGTTAAATGTCTCTAACATATTGTTAAATTTGTGGACTTCAACTTGAATAGCTTGATTTTTTCGAAGAGATTCTTTTGCAAATTTCCTACCCATAGGCCTTTTACCCCTTGCAGAGACACTACCTTCACCAATTGAATTATAACCAACAGTTGGTTTGTTGTGAACATTTGGACTGTTGTCATTTTCAAGAGAAATGCAGTTATTCATAGGGGATTTGAGGGCTGAATTAGGAGAAAACGGTGTATGTATCATTGCTTTACTGTGTTCGTAAGAGTTATATCTTACCACATGATATTGTTTTGCAAGATTAACCAACAATATTCAAAAGTAAAATGTTTGTTTTCATTTGATGGTATAAAAGTTTTTCTTGAAGTATCAATATCAATAAAATATTAAATTAATTAATTAGTTAATTTTTATATGAGACAAAATAAAAAAACTAACATAATAAATGAAAATGAAATCTTACTATATATACTTAAGACATCTCACTTTGGTGAAGATTTTCAACTTGAGCTAAACATCCATGAAATTTGTTACAACATTTCATGATTACACCACATCGAGATGAGATAGACACTTGTATTCTTGATTGATCACTCTGAAGTGAGTAATAATTTTCAAAAATTCTTGCCCAAAAATAAGCATGCGATTGTAAATTGCCAACAATTGGATCTTTAGTAATGTGACACCAAGCTTTACAAATTGCCACATCTTCTTGAGTAGTGAATGATTTTCCTCTCTTTGTTTTTTATGAACCTTTCATATTGATTCTGTAAAAAAACAAACAAGAAAAATATTAAGTAAATTGAAAGCGGTGAATTCAAATTGTGACTGGTTGTTTATATTTATAGGGAATAAAAATACGACTTTTTTTTTTCCTGTTTAATTTGTAGCCATTAAAAAGAGTCGTTTCAAACTTTTGAGAGAGGAAGAAAAAGACTCGTTACTCAAACCCATGTTCATTCCAATGACAAAAGAGCACCGTTGGATTATTTATAATCCAACGGTTCAGATGAAGCATCTGGAACAATCTTGAGAAACATCTCCCAAGTTTGCTCTCTCTCTCTATCTATCTCTCTGTCTATCTTCATTCTAGAACCAGTCTTCATTTCTCTCATTCTCTCCCACCGTCTCCATTCTTCCTCACTTACTCTCTCTCTTTCTTTATCTCTCACCTTCTTCATCACCACAACCACAGGAACCACTAGCTCTAAAAGGACCTGTTCTTTTTGTCTCTGTCTCTGTGATACAGTAGTATAGTCTGAATTTGAAAACCATTGAGCCATGATCGGTCACTAATCCATGTTGCGATTCTTGAACCGCACAGGGTTGTTTGATTGAGCTATTCGGGTCTTCAGCCTCAAATATGAAACCTTTTTCAATACCATCTCTCATTGGTCTCTCTTTCAAATCCCACAAATCTATGGTGTTCCGAGCAAGTTTGTGTTTGGTTAAGTCTTTTGTCTTTATTCAGCTCTATTTTTTAATCTCAAGAAAGCTGTATGTTGTCTTTGTGCTTTGTTTGGTTAATTTGTTGTCTAAAATCTAGTTTTTGTCTGTCCATTGTTTTCTTAGTTACCAAACCGATTGTCAAATGCTGCCAATAGGTCTATAAAGTGAACCCATTTTGAGATAATTTGTCTTATAAAAATAAAAATAAAAAAATCCTGAAATCAAGACATTTTTTTTTTGTGCTTCATGTTGATTTATTGATTCTGAAATTTATAGCTTCATAATTTATTTATGAATTTTGCTTATGTTTTGGAACTTTTTGCTGGAAAGGATGATGAGAAAGGGAGGGAAGGAGAGAGGAAATAGTTAGTTTTGGTGACTTGGTAACTTTGGCATATTTGACACAAGTTTTGACATTTGCCAAAGATAACAACTGCCAAAACTCACCATTGGAGAACACTTTTGGTCCACCCCAGCTATAAAATGACTTTGACATCTCCAATGACAAACCATTGGAGATGCTTTTATCTATAACTTTTTTTCAACTTAGACCTTTGTACGGTTCGGCGAGCCCGTACTCCTTTTTTCCAAGCTCTCTGTCTGTCCGATCGCCCTGTGAACACGACGGCGGTGAGCTACCCGGCGGTGTGTGGCCGGAAAACCCCTCCGACGGTCAAGTTAGCACGCACTCAGGTAGAGAGAGAGAAAGGAGAGTTGAGTGTAAGTGTTTTTCTCACCAAATGATCATCTGTCTCAGCATGGGGGGCGCAAACATGCTTATATACCTTCTGCGCCCCAAATCTACTCCCATTAGTCTCTCGACACGTGGTGCTACTATCTCATCAATCATCACAAATCCAGCAATCACCACCTAACCAATCTGTTAGGATACCTCGGTGGAGCTCGGCAGATCGGCAGAACCTCACCGGTTTAACCTGACCGTGCTGCGCGGCATACCTGTATGATCCATTCGCTATGCTCCTATACAACCGAGCTCGGCCGCATCTCGACGAGCCGAGCCCGAGAGGGGTTGGTCAGGTTAGTCGTCGGCCCTTCTGCCGAGCTAACGTGTGCCTCCGCGGAAACCACAAAGGCGGGCAGACAGCCCAGCCGCACTCCCAATAGACCGGTTTCAGTACCAAGAAGCCAAGTAGCTCGGTCCACACATGTCCTGTGCCTTAACCGAGCAAAACTTTTCTAGATTGGCCCATGCTACCACGGCCCAATTATGTTCGGCCCATAATCTGCCCGGCCCCAGCTCATAAATCTCCCTGTCAATTGCCCCTTAATTTCGTCTGCAAAAACGTGACCGGGATTATATGATCCGACTAGGGTTGACCCTTTCTCGATCTTCGATTTGCAAGACGACAACCGGGCTAGTTGATACGACTGGTTTCCAAACTTGCCCGGTCAACGCCTCGACTTGCCATCTTGTCTCTTCAGTACTAATGCCGCCGTCAATAGGGACACGTGTTGCTCGTCCATTGGCCTCGAGCAGCCAACCATCACGTCCCTTCACATTCAAATTTTTGGCGGTTCTTCACCCCTACAAACATGCCATATCCCCCTTCATTTCACTCTTACTGACTCCCCTCCAACCTTCGACGTTCCAGAGCTCCAACCTCTATTTTTGTTCCTCTTCTCCGTTCGTGCATGAAGACTCAGATTCAACCCCCTTCCTAGTAAGTCCTTCGAGCACTTTATTGCTATTTCATTTGATATTTCACATTTTAGGGCACTAAATCCGTAGGTTTTAGGATATACCCCCCAAAACCCTCTTCTGTCCCTATTCTCTTCGATGTTCTTCTGTCCCAGTGATGAACACATGAACACATGAGGATCTGGAGCGAACCGGGCTCCAGGTCTTCTTTTGATCCCAAAAAACATTGAGACCGCGCAACTTACAAGTTTGCCAAAACCTTAGTAGAAACCAAGGTAGACAGAGGACTTGGCCGCTCGACTGGGCTAACAACTGGTCCGTTTCAGCGACCGAGCTCCTTGGTTTGCCTTTGCGTCCGAGGTGGTCTGGCACTTTTCATGGCCGAGCTAGAAGCTCGTTCTGCGAGACCGCGCTTCCACTTACACTTGCCATCCTTTTACTGCAGAGTTCAAGGGGACCGCAGACCAAATATTGAGGCTCTCAAAGACCGAGCAGCCACCAAACACCAGTCTGCCAAACCACTTCAGCCGAGCTAAGACCAGCCGGTCACACATGGGGCACTACCGCTTCTTGGTCGATACGCCGGCCGCTCTAGCCATGTTTCGAAAAGAATACGGTATCTCGGACGACGTCCACCTAGAGCTCGGTGAAGAGAAAACGATTCCTTAGGGCAGATCCGACCAGTGCCCCTTCACCGTGCTTTCCATCATAGAAGATGGGCTTCGCTTCCCGGTCAACCCACTTATTTGCGAATTCTTGTGGCGTACCGGGCTAGCTCCAACCCAGGTTTCAACCAACACTTACAGAATAATCAACGGGGTCCACGAGCTAAACAAGCGGTTAGGAACCAACCTTGGTCTGGCCGAGATACTCCGCCAATACACCTTAGGGCACACAGGCGATGGCCTCGCCTACTATTTAAAGATCAGGCCGGGCAAGGAGAAAATAGTGACCTGTACCCCAGACAAGGACTTGCATGATGATGACTTTTTTTGGGTGTCCAGCAATTATGAAACGGCCGAGGTGCCGGGCTGGTATATCAGCAAAAATTTCAGCGAGACATGTAAGCCGTGCTAATTGCTCGATCGATTTGCTATATTTCATTGCTTTGTACTTAGCATTTTTCCTTCTTTCCTTTACAGCAATTGACGTTTTGCAAGCCAACTACCGTTATCTCAACGAGGCCGCCATCAGAACCGTGCTCCGCTACCGCAACCGGGATTGCCACGACCTCCTCGGTTACACTCCGACATACAAATATTCAGCTCCACGCCGGAGTAAAGTCACAGACTTTCTTCGCGCTCCATCTCCACCTCCCGATCCCACATTACCGGACGTGCCATACATCCGGTTGACTGAGGCAAAAGAGATGGCCAAAAGAAGCCGCATCAAGAACCTCATCATTGCCACCTCCACCGAGATACCGAGCATCCAAACCTGCTCTCCTGCTGCCGGGCAACCCAGCAGGACCGTGGTTGCATTGGCGTCTCCTGCCGCCAGGCAAACCAGCAGAGACAATCGCCGGGCTGGCAAAAGGCCTCGCGCAGACCCTTCTGCCGAGCTAGTTGCGGAGCTCAACACCGAGCAGCCGGCCGTGACAGCTGACCCAATTCCGCCATGGAGGCCGTAGCTTAAGCACTGGGGAAATGAGATCCTGACAAACGCCTCGATCCAAGGCGACAATGAGCATCTGTTCGCCTTCGATATCTCCAAAGCTCTCCTTTTGCCAAGCGATGTGGTTGGCAGCGACCATGTGCCAGACACCCAGTTGGTGAAATCCTCGGTCAAGTCCATGGCCAGGGTAAGCATCTTAAATTTTTCATTCAAATTTCACAAGTGTTTGCTCGATTTCCATTCTAATCAAACTTACTCCTTGCAGGCCATCCAAAAGCAGCACTTGGTGATAGAAAGGATCCACCGACTCCGGCAAAGGGCAACTGACTCTGCCAGCCAGGTCGAAAGCCTTCAAACCGAGCTCGGGCGAGCCAAGTCTTCACTGGAGATGGACAACTCTGATAACTCTAGGCTGGTCGGCCAGCTTGGATCTGCCGAGAAAGAAAGAGATGCGCTTCGGGCCGAGCTAGATTCGATGAAACAATCAAGGGAAGAGGAGCTAAAGGCCACCAACAACGTCGGTTTCCTTGAGGCTGAGGAAAGTTACACAAAGCAAGTCTGCGCCACCCAAGATATTTTTTTCAAGGCAGGGTGGAAGGCTGCTTGTGAACAGCTCGGCCAGGGATCGGGAACCGACGTGTTTGCCTCCCCTCCAGTTGCCTTTCTACCGAGCTATCTTGTGTCCTATGCCAACGACGTCTTCAGCGAGTTGCAGGCTGAAGCCGAGGAAGAGGGAGCTGAAGATGCCGAGGAAAACGCGGAGGGAGAAACCGCCAAGAGCAGCCCGGCCAAACGGAGACCGGTGTCCAAGACCAAACACCAACAGTCAACCTGGAGGCAAGCGGAGATGAATTCACTGGCCTTTCCCCCCTAGCTTAGTTTTCTTTTGTCTTCTTTCTTTTGTGTCTGAACATGTAACCGGGCTATCTGCCCCTCCTCTTGTAGTTATTTTGCACATCAATGAAAAAGTTTAATTTTCATCAAGTGTTTGCAAGGTCTTCGAGCTAAATAACTTCAGCCGCAAAATACCTCGGCCAAACTAATCATCTTGTTTAACTTACTTAACTGGAAAAGACATCTCGGTTTCAAGCATAAAGTTGAGTAAATCATCAACTGTTTTAACCAGAACAATACATCTCGGTTTAAATATAAAAGTTGAGCAAATCATCAACTCAGGCAGTCGGGATAAAGCTCCACGAAAGTTGAATAAATAATCAACCTAGTCAACCGGAGTAATATATCTCGGTTGAAATCTCAAAGTTGAGCAAAACATAAACTCATTCAATCAGAGTAAACATCTCGGTTGAGAATCTCAAAGTTGAGTAAGACATCAACTCATTCAACCGAAGTAAAACATCTCGGTAGAGAATCTCAAAGTTGAGCAAAACATCAACACATTCAACCAGAGTAAACTTTTCGGTTGAGAATCTCAAAGTTGAGCAAGACATCAACATATTTAACCGAAGTAAAACATCTCGGGTTTAATTTCAAAGTTGAGCGAAACATCAACTCGTTCAATCGGGGTAAATATCTCGGTTGAGAATCTCAAAGTTGAGCAAGACATCAACTCGTTCAACCGGAGTAAAACATCTCGGTTTTAATTTCAAAGTTGTTGAACGAGTAAAACATCTCAGTTTAAATCTCAAAGTTGAGCAAAACATCAACTCGTTCAACCGGAGTAAAACATCTCGGTAAAGAATCTCAAAATTAAAAAGCAACAATCAGAATGCTAAGGCAAAGATGAGACACTTCTATATATTGACAAAAAGAATATTACATTCTGAAGTGTAAGGCAAAAAATTCCTTTCCACAAAAAGAAAACAAAAGCAAAAATAGTACAATTTGAGGTTGGCCGCATTCTATGGCCGGGGTATTCCTCTTCCCTCCAGGTCCTCCAAGTGGTATGCCCCCTTGCCCGCCAGGCCGATGATCTTGTAGGGTCCTTCCCAGTTGGCCCCTAGTTTGCCTTCACCTGGTACTAGGGTATTGCCTATGACCTTCCTCAAGACCTAGTCACCCACTTTGAACGTCTGGGGTGCACCGTTTTGTTGTATTTTTTTGAAAGCTCTTGTTGGTAGGTAGCCACATGGATGAGAGCCTTTTCCCGGCGTTCTTCCACTAGGTCCAATTCTAGGACAATGGCTTCAGCGTTCAGCTCTGGCTCAAAACTTTCACTTCTGAGGATGGGCATACCAACTTCCAAAGGGATGACCGCCTCCATGCCATATGCCAAGGCAAAATGAGTTTCCCCGATTGATCGGCGAGGGGTCGTTCAGTATGCCCAAAGGACACTTGGGAGTTCCTCGGCCCATTTGCCTTTGGCTTTCTCAAGCCTTTTCTTCAACCCATCAAGAATGGTCTTGTTTGATGCTTCTGCCGGACCATTAGACTGCGGGTAAGCCGGGGTAGAATTGTAGAATTCAATCTTCAAGTCTTCACAAAATCCTCTGAATAGGCGGTCGTCAAATTAGGAGCCGTTATCCGAGATCAGAATTTTGGAGACGCCAAACTGCATTACCACATTCTGCCAGACAAATCGTTTGACATCTTTCTCTTTGATTGTCGCCAAAGGCTCAGCTTCAACCCATTTGGTGAAGTAGTTCGTGGCCGCGATGAAGAACTTCCGATTGCCTAGCGCCATTGGGAGTGGCCCCACTATATCTAGCCCCCCACATCGCAAAGGGCCAAGGGCTGGTGAGGGGAAGAAGATCTCTAGCCGGCTGGTGGATTTGGTGGGCAAACTTCTGGCACTTCTCACATTTGCGAACATACTTATGCGCGTCTGCTTGCATGCACGGCCACCAATATCCTTGCGATATAGTCCGGTAGGCCAGAGATCTGCCCCCTATGTGACTGCCACAGATGCCTTCGTAAATTTCATACAAGAAGGCTTCCACGCTGCTTGGGTGCACACACTTTAAATAGGGACCGGTGAAAGATTTCTTGTATAAAGCGCCTGATGGAGAGAGCCAAAACCGCTCTAACTTCACCCGGACTTTATGTGCTTCCTTCTTATCGGCTGGAAGGGTCCGTTCTCTGAGAAAGAGGATAATAGGGTCCAACCAAGAAGGACCTAGCTCGGCGTAGAGTACTTTTGTCTGCCGGTTTCCTCAATGCTGGGCCTCGGTAGGAACTTAATCAGGAGAGGGCTGGGAGATGTGTTATCGACCATGGAAGCAAGGCCGGCTAATTCGTCTGCGCGGTTGTTTTCTTCACGGCCAATTTGTTGGACCCGTATCGCCTGGAATCGCTAGATGTGATCTCTGACCAAAGCTTAGTACTTCACCATTCTGTCATCCTTTGCTTCATAAATCCCAGAAACTTGGTTAACCACAAGCTGGGAATCACTGTAAACCATTAGCTCAGATGCTTGCATTTGAAGCGCGCTCTTAAGCCCGGCCAAAAGCGGCTCGTACTTAGCCTCATTGTTTGATGCAGGGAATCCAAGGGTGATAGAGTGTTCGATGGTCAGTCTGTCTGGCGAAATCAGAACGATGCCCAGCCCGGCGCCGTGGCGGTTAGAAGCCCCATCAACAAAAAGTTTCCACATTTCTCCCACAAAGAGCTTCCAACATTCTGAAGGGTCCTAGGAGGCCTGAAGATTGATGTTACCACGGTAGCTCGACTGTCCACTTCAGGTTTAATGGTGATCGGTTCCACTTCCTCTCTCCTTGGCGGTGCGGCACCGGACAGAGCAGGTTGGTCGGTGATACCCAACTCCGTCGACGCATCGCCGGGCGGAAGTGTCGTACTAGATGAAGGTTCTCCGGCGGGGCGTGCAATGTTCGTGTCGCCAATATCGCCAAGCTGTGTAATTTCGATCGAGCCTGCATTCACCTCCTCATCTACCGCAGCAATATCCACCGGGCATACCGGATGAGTTCCAGGTGAGAATTTAGTAACGAAGTCGGCCAATGTCTGGGCTTTTATGGCAGTGTGTGGCTGAAACTTGACGTCAAACTGTCCCAATTCGACCGCCCACTTGAGAATTCGACTGGAGAAATCCACCCATTCGAACAAAGCTTTGACGGGGAACTCGGTCAAAACGATGATGGTATGAGCATGGAAATAATGCGCCAACTTCTTGGAGGCCATAATCAATGCCAATGCAAGTTTTTCCAGCGGCAAGTATCTCGACTCTGCCGGTAGCAAGGTTTTACTGACGTAGAAGATGGGGAGGTGCTTGATTCCTTCTGACCGGAGAAGCACCGCACTGACTGCGTGCTGAGAAACGGCCAGATAAAGGTAGAATTCTTCGCTAGGTTTCGGTGTGACCAACAAGGGCACTGAAGACAAATACTCCTTGAGCTCGGCCAAAGCCCGGTCACATTCTTCATCCCATGAGAACTTTGATTTCAGAGCTTAAAAGAAGGGGCGGCAGCGATCTGATGACCGGCTTATAAATCGGTTAAGCGCGGCAGCCATTTCGGCCAGATGCTGCACGTCCTTAGCCGAGCTAGGCTGCTTTAATTCTTGTACAGCTCTGATTTGTGTGGGGTCTGCTTCGATGCCTCGGTTTGTGACTAGGAAACCTAAAAATTTTTCGGATCCCACGCCAAAGGCACACTTAGACGCATTCAGGCGTAGCTTGTGTTGTTTGAGAATGGCGAACATCCCGGCCAAGTCAGACAAGTGATCTGCTTGATGCCGGCTCTTAACCACCATATCATCTATATAAGCCTCCATTTTCCGGCCTAGCAGAGGAGCGAACATCTTGGTCACTATCCTTTGAAAAGTTTCCCCGACGTTCTTTAAACCAAAAGGCATGACTCAGTAGCAGAAGAGTCCCCTCGGTGTAGTGAAGGAGGTGATCTCGCGATCGGGGCCATGCATGGCAATCTGATGATAACCGCAGTAGGCATCCAAGAAACTGAGCCTGTTATGTCCAGCCGTTAAGTCCACAAGCTGGTCTATTCTGGGCAGTGGAAAGTTGTCTTTAGGGCAAGCTCGGTTGACAGTCTTATAGTCGACACAAACTCGCCACTTCCCATTCTTCTTAGGTACAACAACTGTGTT